CATTCCCATTAACCCAAGTTAGACAGTCCAGATTATGATTGTCATTAACAAAGGAAAACCAAGCCTGCAAAAACATAAAATGGTCATATAAGTGTAAAGGGGCAAAGAAAACACAGTGCCCACACACTGTCCTACYTACCCATCCTAAAAACCCATATGGAACTTTTCCTCTGCATTAAAGCTGGTGTTCGGGGAAGAGTGTTCTATAAAGCCATGGACAGAAGGCAGTTTGTCTTATAGTATCCAAACAGAATACAAGAAATTGGCAAGGCAAAAACCTCGGGCAGTGTCTAACAAGAGGACCTTTTCATCTACAATATCCTCAAACAATTTAAGTCAAATAAAAGGTATGAATACACCAACAGGTTTTGTTTTTGCTTTTTGCTTGTTTTAACTTAGTAGTGATGGTGGTTCAGGAAAGCAGAGGTGGTAAGATGATTTCAAAAGTTTGCACACAAAAATAATGAAGCAAAAATACTGGGAAAGATTCTGAATGAGTAGTGAAGAAATCTGCCCCGCCAGATATTAAAACATTATGAAGCTATTATCCTTAAAGGACTATGGCACAAATACATGAAGAGAAAAACAGAGAAATGAAGAACAAGGCCAGAAACAGCCTGAAATACGTGGAGGAACTGAGACTATGATAAAGATGACACATCAAATCAACAGAGGAACAAATATTGATTTATTCAATGAACATTATTGAAACAGTAGCTAGTTTTATGAACGAAAATGAAGTTGACATTAACTGGRCAAAAATACATACCAAGATACAAAATAATTCTAGATGGATCAAAGAAACCATGAAATGATGAAAGTACTAGAAGAAAAGATGGGTAAAAGTTTTAACATATCACAAAGAAAGTACTCATTTCTTTAATATATAAAAGGTTCCTGAAAATTAATAAAAAGAAACATCAATCTGAAAATAAGCTAGGCAAAAGACATACAGATGGTTCACAAAAATAAACTATAAACAAATAAGAAGATACTCGTTTTCATAATAAAAGAAACACAAATTTAAAATGTTACATTTTTTGTCATGCAGCAAACAAGCAGAGAATGAAAAGTATTATGACAAACCTATTCTAATAAGAATGAAGAAATAAGAATTCTCTGAAAGCATAAATGGTATTAGTTAACTAAATTATGATAATCTGTAATAAAAGCATATTATATAGCCTTTAAAAAGAATAAGGCAGCACTATATGTACCAAATACAGAACAATCTGCAGGATAAACTGTTGAATAAACAAAGCAAGTTATAAAATAGCATGTAGTCTGCTATCACTATATGCTTGTATGTATAACAAATACTGACAAGATACATATAAATCTAATCATAGGTACTACCTCTGGAGAAGAGAACTGGGTGTCTGGGAAACTACGTTGTAAGGAAAAATTTTTTAAATTACAATCTTTTGTTGTACTTTTTGAATTTTTCCCCTTGTGAACATAATACTTATTTTTAAAAAATTAGTGACCTATATATATTTCAAAGCAAGGTTATGTTTTGCCCTTATAAGGCTATGGTTTGCCCTTATGACTCAAAGCTAGGGAACTGGCCCATGAAGAAGGCATAGAAGTCTAGGTATTTCTTCTAATAAAACAACAAGGAAATCTCAATGGTTCTTGTAGATGCTTAGGATCTTTCTGGTTCTCTTATTCTAATTTTCTAACACTTTGTCAATATCTTTATTAGCTGATATTACTTTATTCAGTACTTAATTACTAAACACTTGCTAACTCTCAGAAAAAGAAAATTAAACAAGAGAATATTTGTAAATTTGCATTTTAAAAAGCCCCTCTAGATGAAATGTGGGGAACATATTGTAGGACAGGATATATTCAGAGGTGCTGAAATAATCGAAGACGGCTGAATTGGTGTACCATCAGTGGTAAAACAGAGAAAAGGGTAGAGATGAAGGTTACTTAGGAGGCAGAACCAAAAGGATCTAAACCAGGGCAAACATGAGAGAAGAAGTCAAGGATGACTCCTGGGAAACTGGCTGGATACAGTGAGTCAAGAGGGGCAGGCAGGAAGGGGCGGCAACYGGTGAGTGAGAGAGGGAAGGCTCAGGGTTCAACACCGAGTCTGAAGTGTCTAAGGGACATCAAAGAAGACGTGTGTCCGGCTGAGATTTGGGTTGGTGATAAACATGTCTTCTATTTCCTCTGTGAAATTGGAGATATCCTGAAAATAAGACAAACTGGAAGACTTGCCAAACTTAACGACAGACAGTGTGACGTGTGGTGACCTCAGGGTTGTGTGAATTTGTTTTCTAGCTTTGTCCAGAACCAGGTGWAGATGTGAAGAAGACAAGCAGTGCATTAATCAGAATTAAGAGTTCTGCTAAGTGACTATGACAACTAAAAAATGGAATAAGATTAACAGCAGGAAAACTGTGGGTCAAACTGAACTGAAACAAGAGAAGGGGCATACTATGGTTTGGAAGTGGTTTTCCCCAAGGGTTGATGTGGAAGCTTGGTCCCCAATGTGGGGATGTTAAGAGGTGAGGCAATCTTTAAGAGGTGAAACTAGTGGGAAATAATTAGGTTACTAAGATTGCTGCCCTCAGAAGGAATGGATATTGTTCTTTTGGGACCCTGGTTAGTTCTGTTGAGAGAGTTGTTATAAAGGAGTGATCTTGACCACTGAATCATTCTCTAGCTTCCTGTCTTGCCATGTGACTCCTGCCTCACACATGCTCCTGCCATGAAGCCATCCACAATGATGTGAGGCAGCCAGGGGCTCCCTCAACAGAGCTGGTTCCATGCTCTTTGGACTTTTCAGCTTTCAAAAATGTAAGCTAAATAAACCCCCCCCCYCTCTCTCTCTAAATATGCCTTAGGTATTTTGTCATAGCAAGGGAAAAAGGACTAATACTACATCAGTCAAGGGATGGGACAAATCCATAAGGTCAAATAAGAGATTCATATTGGAATAAACTGAAGGAATAGTTAGAACTGAAAATTTCAGAACTAGTAAGATCCAGGTAGGCAAATGAAGCCTAGGAGACTAGAGTGGAATGGATACATATGACAATGAATACTGAGCAAAGCGTTTCATRTCCAACATACTAAACTAAAAAGCAAACTTTTGGAATAAAACAAGGTTGCCCTTTTTCTTCCAGTTTTACTCAACCTAGTACTGGCAGGTCTATCCAGAGCAATTAGGCAGGAAAACAAGACAAAAGGAATCCAGATCAGTCACTGGGATTGCTAATACCAAAGACACAAAAAAATAAGTGTTTACAGTTATATTAGTTGAAACACTAATATATTGTTGGGAACGGAAAATGGTGCAGTAGCTGTGGGGAGCAGTATACAATCCCTCAAACAACTAAGCATAGAATCACTATAGGATCTAGCAATTCCACTTTTGTGCATAAACTCAAAAACAGTGAAAGAAAGGACTCGAACTGACATTTGTACACCCATGTTCACAGCAGCATTATTTACATTAGTAAACCAAGTGTCCATTGATAGATMTTTCAGTAAACAAAATATGATAAATACATCCAATAAAACATTATTCAACTTTAAGGGAAGAAAATTCTAAAACATGGTACAATGATGAACCTTGAAGATGTTAARTAAAATATGCCAGTCAAAATGGGGCAAATATCATCTAAGAGTCACTTATATAAGGTACCCATAGAGGTCCACATTCACAGAGCTACAAAGTAGAATGGTGGCTGCTGGGGGCTGAGGGAAAAGGGCCTGGGGAGTTTGTATTTAGAGATTCATTTGGGGAAGAAGAAAAAGTTCTAAAAATGAATGATGGTGATGTCTACACACAATGTGAATATACTTTATTGAATGCATATTTAAAAATGATTAAAATGGTAAATCTTATGTATATTTTGTTATAATAAGAAAACAAGGAAAACATGGAGTAAATCTTAACAATCTTGAATGTGGTGATGATTTCTAAGGTATGACACCATAAACTCGAGACAGAAAGCTGGTAAATTAGATTCTATCAAAATTAAAAATGTGTATATTCATGGAGATTATCAAGAAAATGAAGAGAAAATCTGCAGAAAATATCTGTAAGTCATATATCAGACAAGAGTCTAATATCTAAGAGTATATCAAGAATGCCTAAAACTCATCAACAAAAAGACAAATGAGTCACTTTAAAAATGGGCAAAAGATTGGAATATACATTTATCCAAAAAARTATACAAATGGTCAACAAGTACATGAAAACCACTCAAACACCATTTGTCATCAAGGAAAGGAAATTCAAAATCATACCATGATGAGATACAACTTCATGTCCACTTGGGTGGCTATTTAAGAGGAAAATAACAAGTCTTGGTGAGGATGTAGTGAAYTTGGAAGCCACACACATTGCTGGTGGGAATGTAAAATGGTGCAGCTCCTACAGAAAACACTTTGAAGGTTCTTCAAAAAGTTAAACATCAAATTAACTTATGACCCATAATTAACAGAGTAAATACCAAAAGAATTGAGCACAGTTGCTACAACAAACAAAATACAGGACTGTTTATAGCAGCACTATTCACAATTGTGAAAACATGGAAATGACCTAATAGTCCTCCTCCAACTGATAATAAGATAAACAAAATGTGTGATATCCATACAATTCAGTCATAAAAAGGAATGATGTATTGTTACATGCTACAACATGTACACAACTTGAAAATGTCATGCTAAGTGAGAGATCCAGACAGGATATTTCATGACCACCTAGTTCAAGATTCCATCTATATGAAATAACTAGAATAGGCAAATCCATAGGAAAAAAAAGCAGATTAGTGTTGCCAAAGTCTGGGACCTGGGGAAAACAGGAAGGCTTAGGCACCAGGACTCCTTCTGCAGGGAGGGTGATGTTATGGATGTTCCTGTAACACTGTGAAACATAGGAAGTGCCACCGAATTGCATGATTTAAAGTGGTTAATCTCCAAAATTTTGTTGTGAATTTCATTTCAATTTTAAAAGAAAGGCCCTTCTTTATCACTCTTACCTGACAGTTAATGTCAGCTTTACATTGTAGCAAGACTGTGACTAATTCCTTATGTCCTCGATCACATGCCCAATGGAGTAGAGCTCTGCCCTAAAAACACAGAAAAAGACAAATCAATTAATCCAGTTTTGGGGTTATGTAAAAGACATAATAGTTTCAGAAAGATAAAGAAATTTGTAAGCTATAGGTTAATTATTTAAGAATGACTGATGTAAAAATGCACTATGGCAAAAATGGAATCCCRATGTTTTTTTTTCAACCTAATTAGTTTCCTCATCAATAGAATGGAACTAAGAATAACAACAACAATGATTATATCAATAATATTTGTTGAAAGAATTAACTGCAAGAAAATGCTTTGTAAATTTTCAAGTTTTTAAAATTAATGTAATATAGTTTTCTTAAATTATTATGTTCACCACTTCTGGTGAAAGAAATCTGATGAATAAAAAAAAATGAGTACTTAAACCTAGGTAGAAATTATAATGTAAATCTACCATATGTAAATTTCCTTTAGTTTATTCCTTCAAAGTAAGATTAACCATTGCCCCTTAATTAATACTCTGAAATATCTGAAAAATACTAGTATAGTCTACTAGTGTCTATCATCAACAGTTGACTGAGAAAGGCAATTTAAAAGAGAGTAAATAAATAARTATAAAGTTCTAAGTATGACATATTAATTTTAACTCATAGAATCACAGTTTCTGTTAATGTGTTATTTCTATATTCTGTCAGAAAATCTTACTCTATATGAGGAAAGAAGCCTACTAGGCTCAAAGAATAAACAGAACTCCTAGAGCTCAGGGCTTTCTGAAGAATGAGTGATGTATGGCTTAACAACTACTTTTGAGGGTGGTGATGATGTACTCATTTATACAGAATGGACTGTTTTTCCACATTGAGATCCCTACTTCATGTCATTGTAGAAAAGATTTAAATAGATATATGCTGGGATGAGGATGGCTTTAAAGCAAAAATTACCTTGAGAATGCTTTTGTAAACCTACCCACACTCTTTCTCTCATTCAATCACCCTTCATGCACCTATTAGTTCAACTAATTAAACCAGGACCTAGTCTTGGGAAAAAAAAACAAAAAACTTCCTCCTTACAAATGGGCCTTTTTAAAAATTTTATTTTCTTGGGCTGCTTTTATTTACCTGTAAAAAACTGTTGTCCATTAGGCTAAAAGGGAAGTAAGTAAAAAAAAAAAAATTGAAAATATGAAAAAGGAAAAAAAAAGGGCAAACTATTCACAATTTGTTGTAGTAGCAAAAGATTTTTTTTTAAAGAAAACAATTCCAAAAGTGCAGTTAAAAAAAAATTTAAAAAAATTTAAAAAACAAAACATTGGTGAGTGCTAGAGCAACATTTCCTATGTGAAATTTTCTACAGTTCTAATGTGCACTGACCGGTTGTTATTAGGGAACTAATTTAAAATTCTACACGAGGCTGGATATTTTAATAGACTCTGAACAAAAACCATTGTACAAAATATTCTATAGTTCAATGTAAATGTTACACAGCTTTCGCATTAAAAGAATTGGATAAAATTTCAAAGTCTTATCATTTTTAGTTCTAATCTTAAGTGCACATATTATGGCTACCAAGTTAAACTATTAACAAGAATTACTACATAATTAAGATGGCATGTACCAGATATGTACCAGAACTACTTAATAGTTGAATAAGAAAATACTATTAATATACCTAGTACTTTTACCAYAAGAAGTACATATAATTTTTTACTTCCCAATCAGGTTCTTAATTTTTMTTTAAGTTTGACCCAAAAGGGTTACATCAACTAATGCTAAAATATAAATCCTTAGCTGTTTGAATGGGAAAGAAGACAAGCAACACATTTTACTGTTAATGGGAGTTATATTTTAAATTTGCCATATGTGGTGCCAAAAATTTACTTTAGGGAAACACCTATGACTGGACCTCAGCAGTGATTTTCACTTTGGATGTACTTTCCAGAAGGGTGACACATGTACGGCAATGTTTTAAGAAGGATGAGGTGCTCTCAGACATCTATACCATGCTTTTTAACACGTATTTTGACCTATAATGTAATTAATTTTTGTAACACATTATTTTAATGGTACGCTAATTAACCTTGAATTAGAATGAATTCTCTGACAATGACTTTCTGTACAGTGCTAAAGATATCTACATTACGGCCACCTAAGATTAATATTTTTGCAGTATTAAAAAGCTCAAAAAAAAGATCAAAAACAAAAGTAAAATTAAACATGCTTGTAAATAAAAATAAATCATGCTTTGAAATTTTTACCACCATGATGCTCTACATTTAAATGAACAAAGACCAGCAAAACAAAGTTGTCCACACTYTTTATTTCTTTAAATTATAAAATTCCTGAAAAATATGCTCTAATTTAATACTATTGTTCAAGTAATAAAATAAGAAGTAATTTACAGAGCTGCTATCCTCGTAACTAATTATGGCAAACTCAGGAAATATATACTTGTGGTAACTTTCTCTCTGTTAACCACAATACAATGTAATTATTAAATTATTTTGGGTACAGGATTCCATTATCACTCCTCCAGGAGGAAAACCTGTACACATTAAAGCTGTATTTGCTTTAAGACTTCATCTACATTTTGAAGTATTTTACCTAATTATACATAATTGTTTCACCTTTTTCTATGTGTAATATAATCTCTTACACATTTTTCAAAGTAAATATATTTTTACTACTATCCCAACATATTTCTTTGTTTCTAGATTTTAAAACTCTTGTGAAAAAATATCCCAGAAGTATTTAGAAGGTGGTGGTCTGTCAGGTACTATGACAACAGGTACTATTAGGAGAGCTCTAGATAAATTCTGGAATTCAAATACAGTAAAATCTGGGATAGGAATGGGGGAGAGTTCTCATCTATTAACGAATGGTGTTAATACTGTCCTACTTCAGACAGATGAATGACTTTAAAGTACTTTGAAAGTGCAGAATGGCAAGTAACCTATTAAGTGGTATTACTTTCACGCCTTCTGGATAATACAGAGTGGGTCTTAATATTTTAAATGCTTCTTTGATATCCTTAATTACTTGTCCTTAAACCATGCAGAATTTTTTAAATTGGATTTTTCTCCTGGAAATTGCAAAATGAAATGAAAAGAGATTCTATTATAAAATGAGTTTTCATGTTCCTATGGTATTTTGAGATCAGATGGAAAGCATAAATACCATATATGCAATAGATAAAAACATGGAAAAGGTGGCATATTTAAATTTCTGAGAATAGACATATGGTAGGATACCTAATTAGCAAATTAAATAGTGCCAACAGATTTTTCTGAAAATTTCTCTGAAAAAATTATGGGTTTCCATTTACGTTTGTAGTAAAGACTGACTTCACCACCATAACCTATAATGTCTGTATCTTCTTTATCCTACCTTCTCTTCTATTCTTTGCTTCTGCTGCTGGTAATAACAGCTGGCACTGAGAAATCCTCCACCTGCAACAACCAGAAACTACAAATACCTCCTATTTCCAGGTCCCTCTCCACAGTGAAGTGCCAGTGTTTGTATAAAACATTAGGAGGAAGATCAGGAAAAAGCATAACATCTCAAGATATACCTAGCATAGAAGTCAGTGACTCTTTGTGGAATAATTTATCTATCAGCATTAAAAAAGAAAACTAGAGGATAGAGGTAAAATTCAGTGGTTAAGATCTTGGATTTGATCCCCAGCACTGCACGCTGGGATAAACAAACAAACAACTATGTGATTTCTTACACTGGTGATGTAGAATAAGGAGAAATGGTGATCCTAAACTGTCAGGGAAATTGTTGTTTTTAAAAACTACTTTTGAAAATTCCTTCACAAGAATTTACTAAGCTATGTAAAGGAATAAGCAAGAAAGATATTATTTTGTCCTGTTTAAAACTGTAATAACAGCAATAATAAGTGGCAGTGAAAAAAGCCATATTCCATTGTAATGGATAAATAAGTTGTGGTCTATTCATACAATGGAACATTACTTTGCAATAAAAAGGAAGTCAGTACTGGTCTTTAACAATATGGATGAATCTCAAAATCATTAATGCTGAATGAAAGAAGCCTTACACAGAAGAACACATTTGTATCATTCCATTTTCAGAAAGAGCTATAAGTAAAATTAATCTATGCTAACAGAACAGTGATTTCCTTTTTGGAATTAGAAGAAAGGCTAAGAAGACACATGAGGGGACTTTATTGGGTTATAGCCAAGTTCTAGATCTTGAGAGGTGTTTTAGTTACATAGGATATGCATTTGTCAAAATTCATTGAGTGTGCATTTCAAATTTGAAGATTTCATTGTAAATAATTTTAGAGAGAAAAATGAACTAATCCTGAATTCTAGTTAATTATATGCATGCTGAAGCACATCTGTGCACTCTAAAGTGCATCAAAAAATAAGATGGATTGATGGATGCATAAGTTATCAATAAAGCCAGCATAGTGAAATATTAGTGGCAGAATCTAGGTGGTAGGAATACAGATGTTCAATGGAAAACGTATGTTTAACATGTTTTTATAATGAATTATTGGAGGAGACAGAACAAAAATTTGTACATCCATTATTTACATAGACTTACTACTCATAAGAGCCCAAAGGTGAAAGCACATTAAGTATCTACTGATGGATATTTGAATAAACAAAATGTGGCAAACACATAAAGTAGACTTCAGTTTTTTAAAAAATTATTTTAGTTGTAGATGGACACAATATCKGAATTTATTTATTTWTTATGTGTTGATGAGGATCGAACCCAGAGCCTCACACGTGCAAGGCAAGCGCTCTACTGCTGAGTTACAGCCCCAGCCCGACTATTCAGTTTTAAAAGGAAAAAAAAATTGGACACATGCTACAACATGGGGTACAGCTTGAAAACATTAAGAGCAATAAACCAGTCAACACAGAACAAATACTGTGTGATTCCATTTAGATAAGGCTTATAGAATAGTCAAATTCACAGAAATAGAAAGTTCAGTGATGGCTTCCATGGGCTGGGGGAAGAGAAAATGGAGAGTTAGTATTTAATGTGTACAGAGTTTCAACTGGGAAGATGAAAAT